AGACAGACAGTGAAGAGGTTTCAGTTTCATGTTGCCACTAATAATTTTTAAAAAAAGAGAGATAATTCAGCCGTTCTGGTGACATCAAGACAAGAGAATTTCAAAGCCAAACTTTTTAATTTGTCAACTTGAGGCCAACAGAAAGCCGAAAATGATCAAGAAAACCAGCGCAAACCAGACAGACAAGAAAATCTGGGGAAGAAATAGAAAATATAACATGTGCTTCATTTTGAATGTACGCTTATTTTTCATAGACTTAAAGTTCAGACTGAGGAGTTTTAAGTTTTCTCTCTTTGTTTACCATGTTGTCACCAAACTCGCCTCTTTTCTTTAAAATCTGTACGTGGAAAGAAACTAAAAGACGAACACAGGCGTGAACTATAATTTAATCTAAAGAGAGGCTGTAATAGAATCATCAGAGGGTATTTTCTCCACATGCTGGGGCCTGTGTGAAACTCTGACTGCTCATTTTGCCAATTTTTTAAAGCATAAAGCTGCCGAGAAAGTAAAAGTCACATGAAAACCGACAAATTTGTCTAAAAACACAGCCGAAAAATGTGAGAAATAAAACCAAAATACAGCTTATTTACATGTAAAGTGGTTAATTCCAGTTTGTTTCGGTGCATTTCTGACTGAAGCTGGTTTTCTCAGTTTGTGTCTACATGATGAATAAAGTTCTGTGGCGCTAACGGACTCCAAAGCACTCAAGTGGTGCAATTAAGAACAAATCTGAGGGTTTTTTTTTTTTTTTTAATTGTTATTATTTGTAATCATTTTGAGGCTGGAGCAGTGGGAGATGGGGGTACTTGTGATGAAGGAGGAAAAAGAACAACACTTTCCACTGGAACTGGTGGTTAGTTGCATATTAATGCATGAAAGATGATAATCTAATGACATAATTTCTATTAGTGGAGCAGAACGCTCACATGGGCCATTTCTCAGACGTATTCATCACTGAAGCAGCAACTTGAAAGCTGGAACTAAAGCTTCACTCTAAAAACAAACAAACTGAGAAACTCACCACAGTTCTTCTCCCCACTGCTGCTAGTTGATCAGCTTTATTCTGTAAAGTGTGTTTGTATTGTTAGTATCTGTCTATAAAGTTTGCACTTCATTCATCTGGTCTGTACTGTGTTGGATTAATTCAGTTTAGCTTATTTATCCTGCTGTGTTTCATCTTTCACATGTTTTTTCTTTGACTGTAGAGCAGTCTGAATAATAAGGTCCTTTATGAATAAACGTTCTTGCTATTTTAAGGCCTGAATCACCGACAATGTGAAATAAAATTCTGTAAAAAGAATAAAATAAAAGTTGTAGAATGAACTGTAAAAACTGTGAAAATAAGAGCAAGTGTGTGAAAATGTTGTTGTTGTTGTTGTTGTTGTTGTTGTAATTTTCTGGTCACACGTTGCAAAATTTATGAATCAACATTTGGGAAAATACAGATTTTTTTGGAATTTTGTTTTTAATTATAAAAAAGAATCTGATTTTACTGGATATTTGGTCTGTAATTAACCAAAACAAGGACATTTTGTAAAAGAAAGGCTAAAAATGATGTTCGAGCGTTTATTTGCATAATTTTTCTTTCTATTAACAGCAAATATCAGTAAAGTAAGCTTTACTGCTGATTTACACACAGTAAAAATTGATTTATTTTACAGACAAATCTGGTAAAGAACAGATTCAAATATATATTTTTCTGAATTACAGACTTTTTTTTATTTTTTTAACAGTTTTAGGCTGTTTTTCTTTGTTTTTATAATGTTTCATCTAAATTAATTATGCGGTGTTATAAGTTATTGCCAATAATTTAAGAAATCCAGCAAACAGAATTTTTATATAAATTTCTTTCAATATTTTATGCTTCTTTTTTTTCGAATAACAACAAATGTCTGATTTGTTTCTGATTTAAATACGCTGAAAAAATAGTGAAATTCTACAGTTCAATGTTGTTAAACAAAAAATTTACTATTTATAAAAACTGAAATTTTTGATATAGACATTATTTCTAATTTTTGCCTGTTTTTTTTTTGTTTTGTTTTTTTTTAATGGTTGACGTGAATTTATTATCTGTGGAGTAATTATCTGATATTTAAGAAAAGAAGGAATCTGTAAAAGTAGCAGTTAAAAAAATAATTCACCATTTTTTCAGGCCTTAATACACATCATGTTTCTTTCAAATATCTGTTGACATAGCGACAAAATAAGATTTTTTTTCCTGATTTAAATATCCAATGTCCAATTTAACATTTACAATTTTTTTTTTTTTTTAACGTTATTATCCGGTTTTTAAGAAAATAAGAAAAATCTTCTTTTTTTTTAATTAATTAAATTAAAAAAATTTTTTTCTTTCAAGTATCTATAAAATAAGATTACAGTGGTCAATGTTTAAGGTGCTATGGTGTGAAATCAGGAAAGGCAAAACTAATTCTTCTATTGTGTGATTCTGTAAATGCTCCTAAAAACTGTTAAAACTCGTTCTGTACTTGTCTCAGCTCCGGCTGTTATCTAGAAACAGGTTAAAGCTCCGACTGAAGCCTGTCGACACACAATCAGCTCGTTTGTCCGTCGCCATGGTGACCGCTGATAACGCGGTTTTCGCTGCAGCGGTGACGCGGCACTCATCCAGATGTTTGTCCTTTTGGCGGCTCGTCGCCATAGCAACGGAGACACATGACCGTCAGCGGGGAGCAGCTGCGTCACAGGAGGCGGCGGTTCAACCGACGACTTCCCGTTTCTGAGAAAGCGGCGCGCGGCGGAGGTGAGAGCCGCCGCCCCGCCGAGGCGTCTTCACCTGCCGCCGCTGCGTGACGCTCACGGCTCCTCCGCGTCCTCCCGTATCGCAGCGTTTATCTTTCCGGCCCCTCCTCACTATGTAAATGTCTCGTTTTTTTTTTTTCTTCCTGTCCGCCCACGCACATGCACTCTCTCACCTGCCGCCGCCGCTGCAGGTTGGCCAATAGGCTGCACAGGTGGGGGGTTCCCATGGCAACACAACAGGTAAACAAGGGTGGAGATAAGCGGCGGGGACGCTGCAGCGGGTGGAGAGTATTGACAGGGCGTGGGTTTGGTTTCAGGAGAAGTCAGATAAACACAAATGAGTTTGGGTTTTTTTTCCCCCTGTTCATTTATTTAAAACATTATAATTTAATAACAAGTAATAAATCGATAAATGTGGCGTTTTATTGCCTTCAATGGACAAGTGACAAGACGCGCTGCCAGAATACTGAGCATGCGCAGTAGCCACTCCTCTTCATGCGGTCAGTGAATACTTTTATCAGAAATCGCGATATTTTGCTCCCATTCAAAGTAATTTAAGCCGCAGAAAAAATATCAGATAAACTAAAAATATTTCTTAAAAATATACACGTATGTAGAAAGCATAAAATATAAACGTGTACATTGTGCTGGGAAAATAAAAATATAAAAGTTATAATTGTATTTTTGCACTGAGCAGTGGGGTTCAGTTTGTCTTTATAAAATTGTATTTTTGTTGCCCAAAAACAACCTTCAGAGGAGCCTATTAGTACATGGACACTGAATTCGCTGCTATCTTCTACGTCAGACACTCGACGGCTGGTTTTGTGGTGATTCTGTGCCCTCATGATCTGCTGTAGAAACACTTTTTAAATCAGTAAATACTAATTACTAGCTCTAACATGTGTTACATGTGTATCTATTCCTCAGTCCTGTCTATAGGTGAGAAACACACACACACTATATAGCAAAGAATAAATGAAGCAGCCTGAAAGACAAAACTGAGGGCAAACCCATGTCTAGTTGAGCTGGAAGGTGACTCAGACACACGTGCGTATACATTCACAAACATTTTATCAGTACTTCTCTGTTATCTGGAATGTAGTGGCTGACTAGAAGCCCTATGCATAAATGTACTTGAAATCTGACATAAATATGCAAATGTGTGCACATTTCTTTTTATTTTCCCCTCACAGATGCACCCCACCCTGCAGCTGTGCAGGTCAGCTTTCCCCTCTTCTTCCTCCCTCCCTCCCCGTCTGGCTCTTTGGTTCTCACCATTAAAAAAAAAAAAAAAAAAGCTGCCAATCTGGCCCGGGAGAAGACATAATTGCCATTATGACTGCTGCGGCCCTGCACATCACACAGTGTGCTGATTGTTCACAGAGGAGGAGGTGGGGAAACACTGTCTGCTCTGTGCAGACGCCACACAATATTATCATAGCGTGACTACAGCTCATCCGCACAGACACACACAGGGTCTCTAACTCACTTTTTCTTTTTTTTCTTTTTTTTCCAAGCCTCGCCGTCTCTCTGTAGTCTTACAGTTAAGCACAGAGCAAACAGGCATTTCTATAGGGCTGAGGATCCATACACCGCCGCCTTTGAAGAGGGAGATCTTTTAACTGTCAAGCCCTGGGTAAACACACACACTCACACACTAGTAGGAAACCATAGAAGCGCCGAATGGAAAAGCAGTTTGCACCAGAAACGCCCAACTCGTGTGTGCGAGCGCATGAGGTTTTTGGGAAAGTTGACCTTATCCCAGGTCCAATTCCACTTCTCCGTCTCCGTTTCCAAAAACTAAAAGGTCACCACTAAAAAAAAAAAAACAACACACACACACTGACACTTTAAACAACACGAGAGAAAACAACAAAATCAGGCTTCAGTGAACAAACTGTACACACATTCAGCACAAAGTCGACCCACGTTTCCACCCCGAGGACTGAGTGCAGCCGTGGTTGGGTGTAAAGGATATGGGAGCGCTGATTAGCCACAGGAAACATCCATTCCCACAATAGCAGGCTGATGCATTGCAAAGGGAAATGTTTTTATCACTGTTACGAGATTATGCGGTTGATTCTGCTGACGGCACAGCGGGAAAGAGCAGCGTCCCACCTACGCATCATGAAAACCCTGCGACCACGACGCGAAGCCCCTCCATCGTTCACCGGGTAGCTTCTTTTTTTTCCCCCACCCGCCCGCCCCGTCTTTGACAAACTCTGGACGCAGCAACAGGGTGCATAATGGTCTTTTGTTTATTTAGAGCTGAAATTTCACCCGTTTGGAAGCCGAGTCAGAGTTTACAGAAGGACGTTTGGGTCTTTACAACAAATTTTTTTAAAAAACGGTTATAAAATGAAGGTTTATTTTTAGGTACAATACGACACAATCCAACGCAGCAGCTCTGCCACTGACTCTCCTGCAGTGACGTTCACTTTTTTCCACTGTAATAGAGGTGTTAACTAAATTACTAGTCTGAGGTTAGCGGCGTTCTAGGAATGGAAAGACAAACACCTTCAAACACCTCCTTGAATCTCATGATGCACCTTTAAAAGAGCGATTCAAATAATCACAATTCGTGTACAAACTTCCAGAGACGTCGTTTTAATAAAGTGCCCGCTTCCTGTTTTGTTTTCTCTCAAATGCACCTGAGGAGTGTCGTCTTTTTGAAGCCAGCGAGTGAAATGAAGTGTCAGACTGGATAATAGAGCCTCTGTGGCCTTTCAAACGCAGGCCAGCTGCAAGAGAGCATCTCTAGTAGTCCACTATTAAACACAGAGAGGAATTATTACCTTGTGATTTATTGAGCTATACAGGCCCATATTTAATCCCGTAGCAGTTTAATATAAAAGCACAGAAGCAATAAGGTAATATGAATAACAACAGCAACACACTGTGTGTCATGCCACGGCTAAACTGAAATAAATTCAAACTCTTGGCTGCCTCGTGTCTCCAGTCTCTCTCTCCGTCTGTCTCGCTTCACGGCTAAAACCTGATGCGTCTCTTTGGTTGCATGCGATGGCACGACACTGACGCCGCGTCAGCTGTCTGAACAGAAAAGGAAAATACTGGCATGGAAGGCCTTAAAGAGGAAACCCTCACCATCGTTTCCCGCTACTCGGTCACGGCGGCGTTGTTACGACATGGCAGCGCCGCCTCCTAAAACTGACTCCACTTAAATGCGTATTTTCAGCAGAACATCGGACTCATGTGTCCAATTACCCACACAAAGGAAAAACCAAAGGAACAAAGCTGGTTGTTGTTTTCTAGCGGAGGGTTTAAGGCCAGTTATTCTGTTTTCTTGCCGGCGGTCAGCTTGTCGGCCTGCAGAGCGAAGGTCTCGGCCACGATCAGAGGGAAGACCAAAGAGGCGTCTGCGTACACCTGAGAACCAAGAACAGAGAAGCGCAACACTTTCTCTCACATTACTAGATTACTGTTATGTCACACGCTAAACTAAAACCAGCCCCCAGTTTCCATATTTATGTTTTGGTGCTTTGATGCCACACATCATCCTGAGAGTCGGCACTGAGCAGATGCTGCCACCTTCAGGCCAAAGCTGGAGCTACAGCTCATCACTGTTTAATAAAAATAGCCAAAAAATTCCTTGTTTCTTTCTTTTTTTTCTTCATGCATCCTTGCTCGGTGGCCATTTTTGATGTGCTATAAAATCATTCTTAACCACCTCAAAACAAAATTTCAATTAGTTTCAAGATTCTCTTTTTTTTTGTTTTCAAACATATTAAATTGAAAGAGTTGCAATAAAAGCAGAATATCTGCGTTTGTCAGAGCAGGTTGGATGTGAGTGGAGGAAGATTCATCAATCTGCTGCAGGGGCATGAAAAACACATGTAAGCTGTGAAGAACCACTTGGTTTTCTGCAATAGTTCCACTAAATAGCGACTTGATCGTCATGTAAATCACAAGTACAGACGAACACAATGTTCTTAAACTAATACACACACACACAAAAAACAATTATCTTTTGTGTCTCCATTAAACACACCCGGTAAACATTCCCATGGAAAAAAGCAAACCACTGGACCGAGTGTCTGTCAAAGCTCCTTTGGCAGCAGTGACACTAATAACCTCAAACAAGAATTTCCAGTAGCGGCGGATCAGATCTGCACAACGTTCAGGAGGAATCTTGGATCGTCTTTACAGAGCTGCAGCTGGCAGCTACTTTGACAAGATCCTGGAAGACGCCTTAACAAACTGAGACACTAAGTTTCCCCTCAGTAAAGGGCAGGAGTTCAGACAGCGTGTTCCCAAAGAATTCACATTTAGTTTGTGCACATTGTTGTGGAGTGTCAAGGTGCTGTTTTTTTTTTGTTGCAAACTTTAAACTTGAACTCACCTCAGCTGGGCCACATCAAATCATCACAGTTTATAGATTCATACACTGACGGATGTCAAAACGATGTGAGACTACTACACAGTTTTATGCAAACCAGCGACTCTTGAGGTCTTCCGAGACCTTTTCTTGTGCAGGGCATTGTTTACATCAGTGACCTTAGGTTGATGTCAGCAGCTATTAGAGGTGGTGATCAGGGTTTCACCTGCTTTTCCAATCTGCAGCGTTAATATTTGAATGATGTGTTCGATCAGAGAGAGACAACACTCGTGCGTCTTTGTTAGCGCAGACTGTGTTTGATCCGACCATGTTTTAGGACATTTATTCACACAAGCAGAACAATCTGAAGGGTTCACTGACTTCTGCTTACCGCTGAACACTAAGCACGTTTAAAATGACACAAAACCTGTGAAACGGCCACAGCCCCTCGTTAAAATGTCTGATGACGCTGTTTGCAACTGCGCTTAAGTTCACGAATCAGGAAACAGCTGAGGTCAAGTCATCAGCAAAATATATGAAAAGTGGCGCAAATGAAAGGAAGTCCTCCTAAAACCTAACAGATGATGCTATCTGAGACTACACCGGTGCTAAATTGTCTTGGTCATGGCCTAATTGCTAAAACAAACACGGTTACCTTCACAGGTTTGGCGTCTGTCCTGATCTTTCCCCAGGAAACGGCCTCGTCGGGTCGAGCTCCGGAGTCGGAACCGTCGAACTCCTGACCCGTGTTGACGTACACCACGTAGTCGGCTCCGTTCCTCTGGAGGGAAGCCGAGGAGAGAGCAGCGCATTAAGACAGGAAACTGATTTTGCATGCTGTATTACACTGGCCCGAACGTCGTCACAATTCTGCACAGAGAGGGTTGATGACGGGGAGGAGGAAGCACGAGGATCCTTTTGCTTGAGAAGTTAAACATTTTCAGGGTTGCAAGTTTTGTAAGAAGTGCACTTCATTAAATTAAAGTTATGACTATTATTAACTAAATGTACTTCAATGATCGAGTAAATATATTTAGAATTTGGAAAAAAAAAATTCTACATGTTAAATACTCAAATGAATGTGTACTGCAAGAAGATTTTATTGTTATAGTTGGAAGACGTGATTATTTATTATCGTTAGAGCATCTAACTTTAAAATGTGAATCTAGTAACTAGCAATTAATGAAAGCTGTAGCAGAGCCTGACTCCCCTCTGACATGTAGTGTAGAAACCTGAAATACTCAAGAAAAGCACAGAACATTGGTGCCTAAGCAAAAGGACAGATGGCTAATTCAACTTTTTGTAGAGTTGCCTACAAAGCCAGAGTCACATATGAGCAAGACAAAGTGGGATCTAGAGACCACAGTGGATAGTTACCATCAGATTAGCGTTGGCGATGTGATGTTTGACCAGCCCTCCTCCCAGGATGATCATTCCCGACTTCTTGGCAAAAACCGCCTGGCTGTTCATCCTGCGAATGTCTGAAACAAAAGAACACAATCGTGATGCGTCAAACTGAGACGACCTCGCTTCTGTCGCTTGTAGCGCCGCTCGTACCTTCGACGATGTCCAGAACCAAGCCGGGGTTCTTAAACGAGTGGAAGTAGATCATGTCGCCCAGAGAGCCGTCTGTCAGGGCAGGACTGAACACCGGGATGTTATTCTGAAACATAAAGGCTGAAATTATTCCACTTATTTCAGAAACACACAGTCAGCACCGGTAAGTGTAGTCAGAGAGCAGGATGGAGTGACGTGGTTGTAGCTTGTATGTTGATGTTTATCCCCACGGCGCTGTGGTGTGATCCTCGTGCACACTTGAAGTTCTTGTTTACGTCACACACAATGTTTTATTTGCACATTCCTCCACACTGAAAATATTTCTATTGTGATTTATAAACCCTTTACTGCAATCTGACTTCAAACACTGCTTCTTATTTATCTTGTTAACACTCAGTACATACGACTGTTTACTGTCATGCACTAAAACAGCAGAACAAATTCCTTCTATGTGAAAACCTACTCGGCAATAAATCCTTTCTGATTCTGATTCTGTGTCATCAGTTATCACACTATGCTAGGAAGGGAAAAAAAAAAAACACTCCGAGTGGTTGTATTTCTTAAAAACAATCACAATCGTCGTGGGCGACGCTAAGCCCAGGATGCAGCACTGGTGCCCCTTGCAAAGCAGCGTCAATGGTTTACATTTACACTGAGGTGTCGTAAAAAAAAAAAGAACGCTCGACTCGATGCAAATCTGTGTGAAACGTGTCATTTTCTCAGCGTGTAGGTTGACAACTGGCTCACAAAACTATTTTAGAAATGGTAGCACACAGACAGCAGAAGGGGAGACTTCAATAAACTGACTTGTTGTCATCAACTATTCCCGTATTATACATGTCATCATTAATATAGCTCAAGACTCACCTTGTATGCCCAGTAGTAGACGGAGTCCGGATTATTTATCTCCTTGCCGAGCCGATGGATCATTTTGGAAGGAGTCCAACGAGTGCCCTGAAAGAGGAAATCTTAAAGTTAATATTTTTTTAAAAAAACTATCTCATGGTATGAACAGATTTATAAAGGCCAAATCTGAAACATCCCAACCGCACAGCTTTATGGAATCACATCCACCTGACATATTCTGTAAACCACCACAGTCTGCATGTCAGGACTAACAGGAGACGAACCTCCGTGTTCTGCTCCAACAGCATCTGGTCCAGGATGGGCATCAGCCAGTCTTCAAATTTACAGTAGTTATCATTGGGCACCAGCAGATTCCCGATTCTACGGGCAGAGAAGGCAAAGGACAACGAAAACACACATAAACAAGTTGGATATGCAAGCTAGGATGCCTAATATGAACGTCTACCTGCTAAGCTAGCTGGCTGTTGGCTCCAGCTACATCTACACTGACAGGAGAGCGCTATCGAGCTACTCAACTAACTCTCAGCAAGAACAAGAGGAAGCATATTTCCCCGACACGCTGAACATGAGAAATAAAGCGTATTAGCAGTGACCAACCTGTTGATGCCTCTCAGGCGGAGCTCCTTTCCAGACAAACTGAATTCTCCCAAATACGTGTGAGCGAGACACTTGATCAAATCCTCCTCGATGCCTCCAGCCGAGGTCACGATCACATCCACCTGACACGGAGCAAAAGATGAACCATCACCGTCCTCCTGCCACACTGGTTGATCACCTGAGAGCCTAACTGGGTAACTACGACAACGTAAACTGGTACCATTTTGTGCTCTGCCAGGTAGCGGATGCTCTCCCTCACGCCGGAGCTGATGAGGTTGGAGGTGTAACCCAGGAAGATGGTGCAGCCGGATTTGGGAGCCGAATCATCGGACTCGTTCCCTTCACCTGCCTCCACCGGCTCAAGGCGCTTCTCTATCTGTGTGAAAGCAACGACCAGCAACGGTTAGCATGAGAAGTCTGCACCAATGGAGGATAGTGTTGGCAGTATTTGTCAATCTGTGCTCTTCTGGTTTGCAGATACGCAGACAGTGTTTGTTTGTAGGGCTCTGGTTTTAACATGCTGCTATATTTGTATTTATTGATGCTGAACCAATTTTAATTTCTATTGCTGCAAGAAAAAAACTATCTGCAAGGCTACTAGAGGTAAATAAGAAGATGTGTGTGTGTGATAACCCTGATAGCCCACTCGTTCCTAACAGACACTGCTCTCACCATGTTGTTGATCTCCTGGATGGCCAAGCCTAAGCTGCTGGCCTGGAAGCCCGTGTTGATGTAGGACTTCAGCACCGCATGGAGATCAACCCCCTGGTTAAAGTCGTAGCCTCTGATTTTCGGCATGTCCTCGGGGAGTTCGCAGCTGGGCTTCAGGACAGCCTCCATGGCAACAGAAGGGGCCTTGTCTGCCATCTTTCCTGCAAAAACAAACATCTCAGCGGTGCCCAGTGCAGCCTTGATCAAGAAACAACTGGTATCCATTCAGTCTGTGGCGACATATTCAGAAAATCTGGTTCATGCTGAGACATGTGTCGATCTGATGCATCATTACTAAAATAGCAGAAGATGAGCATGACTGAATGTTTTAGTCAGGACAGGCTCTCCAGAAGACTTTCCAGGAGGCTTTCATGGGAGACAGTGTTATTGAAATTGGTCTTCCTTCAGGCTCTTAGTGTAATTATTGAGTTAATTACATATCAGCAAATAACGAGTACCAACAAAGATCCGGTTTTTCCAGCCCGAGACTTGGAGTTGTTGGACAGACTGTTTGTCAAACATTTGCTTACGGCAGCGTGTGCACATATAGCAACTTAAATGAGTGGTTTCATGGCAATTAGCCTGCATGTCTTCATCCATACAGCAATAATGCAGTGAGGCAGAAATACTGCTTCTTAAACCTTTGGGTTCTCTCACTCGTCTCCCTGAAAATGGCTCCGCCTGCCTGTTTACATGCACGAGGAAAAGTCCTGGTGGCTCCGAACTTCTTCTGTTTCTCAATCTCCTCCTGAGTACAGCGATCTGTACAAGTCTGACGTACTTTCCTGGATTACTTCCATTCAAAACTGTTCCTGCTGTTTCTATTTCCACTTAGAGGGTGATGGAGTTTACATTATATTAGACAAATTCAGCATCAGGGACCCTAAACAGCAACAACAACAACAAAACTGACTCAAGCACTGAACACATGTTGCAGCTCGAGGTACTTCAGCATTTATATTTTTATGCTACTTTATATTTCTGCTCACCTGGACAGCTGTTTGATTTAACCCACAAAACATATGACAAGCTTACGTAACATCATGCATGGCTTCACCACTCAGTGTGACGAAGCTCCATCTCCACCAACTACAACAGAACAATACAACTCATACAACACTGCATCCACAATAATACAGTTTTAATGATAGTCCATCCATCGCAAAAGGCTGTTTTGTGATTAGTATTGCCTTTAGGATCATTTTTTTCTTAATATCCTAACTTGTACTGGCAGGATACTTTCACAGTATACAGCTTTTTGAGGAAAGAGTCATGTTCTTAAGCTATGCTATACCTTTGAAAGCTTCATATGGTATTGGACAGATGAGACAGCTAGCCTGGCTTCTGTGTTTACAACAACGTCACTTCAACTTTACAGCTACACAATCCACAAAAAACGTGTAGTCTGGGTGTTAAATTCATTCTTCTGGATAGAAAATGTAACCCTAAATGGACTAAACTTCCTAAAAATCAACAGTTGTGTTAAACTGAGGCAAAAGCGTCGCTCAGAACATGTAACATGCATGTGGTCTGACGCTAGCTAGCAGCCCGGCTAAGCTAGCTGTTAGCTGCTTTTAGCCCGACGCGGCGGGCTTCAAACATTTGAGGACAACGTTTAAAACGTACCTATTCCTGGAGGGATGTTAGGTGATGGAGGGGTTTCAGAAGTAGACGGCTGCCACAACACACAACAACACAGATATTGAGGATTTGTGCTCCTGTAAACATCGCATGGGTCGCCCGTGGCGAGGAAACTCCCTCTACGGAAACCGCGAAGGGACAAACAGACAGGGTGTGTGTGTGTGTGTGTGTGTGTGTGTGTGTGTGTGTGTGTGTGTGTGTGTGTGTGTGTGTGTGTGTGTGTGTGTGTGTGTGAGAGAGAGATGTTGACTCGACATTTCTGGGAAAAAAAGACTTGTGTTCATGCTTTTCTCAGAGAGATGCTGAAAATAAAGCGAAAATAAAACAAAATAAGATTTTAAAAAAAAACTATTTGAAGTCTATTTTTAAGAGTCATCGTGTTTTTTGTGCAACACACATGACTGCCAGTTTGCCCAGGAAAAACCAGAATCATGTGTTTCCTTGTGGTGCTGCTCAGGTGTACTATCTTACCTGTAGGCACGGTTTGTTTTCATCCAGATGTGTTAAAGAAGCCACCGGGATGGAGTCATTATTTCATCACTGTATGTACAGCAGTTCACAAGATCTTACTGCTGCTGTGTTTGGAAGACGCTAACTTTGCTCATTGACAGTGACAGAAATCGTTTGATCGCCTCAAAAGGTTGAGCAACAAAATGTTAAGTTAAGGTACCATCATTTCTGTTCAGGCCTGTTTCATGAGTTTATTTTTTTTTAATAATTCTGATGAACCACGGTTCAAAAGCAAAGTCTGACTTTCATTGGTGAATTTTCATAGAATTTTTATTTATTATTACTTTTGTCAGATTGAAGTTATTTCTGTTGTCTTTCATTAATCCAGGGGGTAAAAACAATTTTAACAATATATATTTATATATTTCCCCACGCATATTTCCTTTGCTTTTAAAGCGACATTATTAAAAGTAAATTTTAAAAAATGAAAAATGAAAATTAGAATGACAAAGTCATTAAATAAATAAAGACAATGTAAAATTAAATTAAAATAAATAAATCTATTAATTAATTAAAAATGAATCAAAAAATAAATTACAAAAATAAATAATTATTTTATTTATTTCTGTTATGGATTCATTTTTGATTAATATTGCTTTACATTGCCACATAATTTATTTTTTAATTTCCACTTTTGTTTTATTATTCTTTGATTGATTTATTTTTGTAATTTGGCACTCTCACTACTCCATGGTTCCTGACTCTACAAATTAACTTGAAACTGTATTAATTAATTAATGGAAACACTAAAGCAACTGCTCTAAAGTAAACCTGAGTCAACTTCATATTTTATTGACCTAACTAAACCTAACTATAGTTACCTTTTTTTTTATCCTTTTAACTTCATTCCTGTGTTTTTGTTCTGTGCTAAATTCATAACCATAAACAGGAAATCTCTTCTTCTGCAAAGCTGGCTGTATTTTCTGCTCATTGTGAGGTCATGGCGTGCGGCACACCGGCACGACTCCATCCAGCATAATCTCTTAGCCGGTGGTGTTTTCATCGGCGGCGGCTGTGAAGTGATGTGTGATGTGTGTGACATTTCCGTCGCTGTGCTCTATGACCTTTTCTATCACAGAGCCTTTGAACTGGCCCCAGCGGTGAATAAAAAAAGGGCTCCAGGTCAAAATGGAAAGTCCGGAGCGTCTCCGAGCAGACTCTCCTGCGCGCCCTGAGCCGGCTCTTTGGATCAAGTGAACCCCACTTCCTTTTCCTGCTGCTAATTTTGGAGTCTCCTCAGTCTATATATTAAGACTTTTGTGCTGTTGGCATACTGGAGGTGATGTCGGGGAAGATGTGCAGCAGCAGCGTCATTCAGGCACAAAAACTGGTGGATCAGCTTCGGGTGGAGGCGAGCATGGAGAGGTTCAAGGTATGGAGGAGCCGCACTTCATTACATCCTCAGATTTACTCATCCTCTTCCATTAAACTCACAACAGTCACTCAAATAACTAGAAACTGAAAAAAGTTATAATAAATAAAAATGTGCTAAATTATAATTTAGTGAAAACAGACATTGCTTTGAGTTGTGGTTGAAAATAAAATTAAATTAAAATGACTAATTAGAGCACGATGAGCAGTGGTCCAGAACACCTGTCAACAGGTGCAGAAGTCTGACTGAGAGTTACAGAAAATACCTGATGGCTGTGACACCTAACTGACCCAAAACAGGAAAAGTTTAGTTTATATTTAATGTCAGACAGTGAAAAAAAAACAACAACAAAAAAGATGATGTCTCTTTACACAGCGTATGGAACCTTCTGGTTCCTGGCTGTACTTCCTATGCCACATTTCTGCTGATTTTAAGTTCCTATAGCTCCAAACGTACAGAATAACTGACACGCTGCATGCCAAGACCAAATTCAAATGGTTTCTATTCATACTTTGTACTTCTACTATTCTACAGTTTCATTCGGCAGACGCTTTAATCCAAAGCGACGTACATCTGACAGCAGATGCAACACAAGCGAGGATCTAGTCAGGAGAAAACAACCTGGACAAGAGCCGTAGAACAAGTTCAAGTGTGACACCAACAGCAGGCTGTAGGGAGGTAGTAGGATTTTCTTGTCGTTTGTTTGTTGTCAGTCTGTCTGTCTGACCTCCACTGTCCTTCGTCCCGTCAGATTTCGCTCACAGCAGCAGATCTGGTCCAGTACTGTCAGGAGCACCGGCGCAGCGACCCTCTGCTCACCGGCATCGCCGCCTCGTCCAACCCTTTCAAAGACAAGAAGACCTGCGTGCTGCTGTGACGCTTCTTCTTTTGTGTGAGAGCGAAGCCGCAAAGTGTCTGTTGTCAAATGTGTGTACCTTCAGCTGTAAGTCAACCTGCCAATAACTCACATAACACGGGATTTTTAGGACATTTAATGGCGTCTTCCATTGAAATAGTCTGTCAGTGTTTTTTTAATGAATGCATATGTCAAGTATTGTGCAAATGATTAACAGATTGAGGGTTATAGAGTTATCCACGCTATTCAGTATTTAAACAGTGTTAGAACCAACACACACACACACGATATATTCAGACATACAAATAAGATCATATTGATTTGATTTGACGGTTGTGTATAAATAAACAGTTTTTCAGATATAATCAGTGTCACAGAGGGTTTGGAAACGAGCTTCTCACTGCACATGACATTTAAAAGATGTACATATCAGTCACTGGAAGTTATTAACGGTTTACAGTTTCAACACAAGAAAACGGAATAAAAAAATGAAGTTAAATTAACCCTAAACCCTTATAAAATAAAATAATGCGTTTGGCCACAGACGGTTCATCTGTCGTCAGCATTCACCTGATAAGTGACCACTGGTGCCTCTCTGGATGTGTCCAGCCTGCAGGGCGTCTCTGTGTTCAACAGGATGGGCTCCGTGTTCTTCTTTGGCCAGCGTGGTCAGCAGGCGTTGACGTGCTTCAGGTCTCGTCCACACCTGAGTTCAAGTCTCTCCATGTAGTGTGCAGGTTTTTGCTCTTTCATTTCCTGGGCCTCCAGATTTCCACACTCCCGTAACCCGAGGCCACGGCGAGGACTCCGGCCTCCACGCTCAGCTGGGAGACGAAAGACACGAGGGAGGGTGAAGACATGGAGAAGGAGGAGCACAGATGAGTTAGACGTATGAGAAAGCAAAGGGAAGAAAAACAAACAAAAACAGCTGGTAGATGGTGGATCGATTGTACATAAGGTAGCTTGATTTTTTTCTGTTATTTGTTTGAGATTAAACTGAAATAAAATTTAGAATATTGTCATGAAAGACAGATGATCTTAATCATTGATATAATGTGGCAAATGATGACATTATTAGCTGATTTAAATTCAGTTAAATGCTGTAAAACAGTGCTGTTGTTTGGTCACACATTGTAAAGGAATGAAAACACTTTTTTGTAAATGAATACTGTGGAGTAGTGAGAGCGCCAAATTACAAAAATAAATCAATAAAAGAATAAGAAAACAAAAGTGGAAATAAAAAGAAAAATAAATAAAATAAAAAACAAATAATGTGGCAATATTAATCAAAAATGAACCCATAAAAGAAAAGGATAATAAAAGTACAAATATAAAGACAAATAAAGAAAATAATAAGAATTCATTTATTTATTTTATTTTTTATTTATTAATTTTAATTTTATATTTTATTTTATTGATTTATTTTTATAATTTGGTACTCTCACTACTCCACAGAATACTTTTTTGTGATTTCAGAAGAAGTCGTCTGTATTTGAAAAAATCAGGAAGAGTCAGTCATGATTCAGTATTTTTAAATCCAACCTTTCCTTAAAATATTTGCAAATGTCTGTAAAACAATTAGATTTTATGTTAATTAAAACACAGGAAAACAGAATGTTTCTGGTCACACATTGTAAAAGAATGAACAAATCTGTAAACATACTGATTGTTGATGTGAAGTTTGGGTCTTTTTTTTTTTTTTAAACATTAAAATCAATACTTTTTCTGTGATTTCACTAAATATTATCTGTATTTTTAACAAAACAGGAAAAGACTAAAATAACATTTACTTTTGTCTTACTTTTCTTTTCTTTTTAACCACATTTCAACCCTTAATATTCATAACTGTCTTTAAAAAATATCTGCAAATGTCTGTATAATAATTATATTTTGTACTAATTAAAAATGCAGAAAAACGGTGTAATTTAACAGTATAACAAATTACCAGTTTTTAAATTCGCCGTTTCAGGGTTTTATATGTAAATTTGTACTTTCCCCCCCAAGATTTTGGTCGTTATTGTTTAGAATTTCACAAAATAAAAAGGGGAAATGTTAAAAAGAAAACAACCTCGCACTCACCCCATGAACGGCTGCTTGATGCTGTAAAGTGCATAAAGTCCTTGGAGGCGCACAAGGAACATGAACCTGCAGCACAGACAAGAAACGACTTCAGCAGCAGAGTTAGTTAAACAGGCAAAGCAAGACGGAGTTTCTCTTCACCGACCTTGATTGTCCAGTCAGACGAGCAGGTGTAGAGGCTTCCGGGGGTCTTCTGTATGCCGGTGATCAGGGCTGTGTGTCCCACATCGAACTGGGACAGAGGCTTCAAGGTCCCCGCCTGCATGGAGAAGGAGTGGAGCATGCCGCTGTTGTCTCCTGCCCATATTTCGTTGCCGCTGTAGCTCATTGACATCAGATAAGAGCTCAGCTGCAGAGAGAAGGTTTGGCTGGACTCAGTCTTGGTACTGGACTTGGTATTCTGTACATGGATGCAAATATACACTTCTCAAAGAACTGTGTGTTTGTGTTTTTGCGTCTACCCGAAGTTTCTTCAGGCCTTTGCCTGCCCTGCGGTCGTAGACGGCCACGGTGCAGTCTTTACTCCCAGAGATGATGTATTTGTCATCTGCAGCCAGGCACATCACAGCGTTACCATGGAGACGGAGGCTTTTAATCAGTGGCTCAGGAGCTGTAGATGAAATTTAAACAGAATCAATCTGAAGTCATCTGTCTTTAAACTTTCTTTACAAGCTAACTGGGAGGACAATAAATTAATCTTAAGAGCTGCATCACATGACACTGTTCTATCAGCACAGTTAGAAAATTTGTCTCTTTCATTTCCATGTGATGCATGAAGCCACTAAGCTGCACGTCAAAGCCTCCTCACCTCTGGGGTCGTACATGCTGACCCTCTTGTCGAATGTGCCAGCCAGTAACACGTCTGTCTGACAGGACAAGCAGAGGACGGCGGCTCCGGCTCTGATCAGGCCCCTCTCTGCCCCGCCGGCCTGGAGATCCCACAGCCTCACGGTACTGTCAAAGCCCCCCGAGGCCAGCAGAGGACCCCGGGATGCCAGGCACCACACCCAGCCCCGATGGGTGCTGAAGTCGCCCTGCCCTCCCAGTGTGTACAGGAGGGCTCCGTTAGGGCCCGCCTGCAGATCCCACAGTTTGACGTTCCAGTCTCTGGACGCCGTGGCACAGACTTTGCCTTCTCCCCCGAGGAACAGGACTGAGTTGATCTGTGCAATGTGGCCCGAAGGCAGCGTGACGCACTCCAGCGCTGGAGGAGGGCTGGGGCTTCTGGGGGACGGATGTTGCATCATGTCTATCTGTCCTCCATTACCCAGATTGACGGGTTCTGCCAGGTCCTGCTGGTGGTTAAGAACTGCAGCTTGCAACTCAGCAGCTTGAAACACCATCCTGGGGTTCCGCTCTTCTTCCATCAGTGCAGCTGCATCATCCTCCAGTCTGTCTTCCAACTCCTCTCTCAACCTTGCGAGCTGGTCGTCAGCTGGGACCGGCTGTATTTCACCATCCTCGCCTTCTATTGCGATCTCCATCTCTTCATCAACGCCGTACGCAACCTCCTGTGCTGGCACTCCCACCCCTTCCACCTCATCCCCTCCATCACCTTCCTGTCCTCCTGCCACTGCTTCCCCGTCTTGGCCTTCCCTCCGCTGCTGCCTCACTTGTGCCCTCTCCTCCTCGTCTTCCTGGATCTGTTTAGCCACACGATCTGCATCTCGGGTCCAGCAGGTTATTAGCTGCTCTATCTCGAGGCAAGCCGTAGGCCAGTCAAAGTCCTCCCTTGGGCCCACTGGAAATCCAGCTCTTGATCCTATCAGTCTCCGCGCCCGGAGTTGCCAGGCAGTGCTGTCCTTACCCACATCGCTCAGCGCATGACAGACCTAAAAAAAAAAAAAGAGGAGGAAGAGGGATTCAAGAAAATTCTCGATATGTGCAAGAAATGTGCCGACAAAAGAAGCGAACGCAAGAATTGCTGACTAGTAAAAACAATATAACCGATGTAGAATTTAAAACGTCTTTTCAAATGTTTTATGAAGAAGGAAATACATCCAACAGTTTTGTCATGAATGTGATTGAAATGTTGATTCTGGAAAAATATTCACGCATTTTTGTGTAATCAAGAAAAATAGTAATTCCTGGTGAATTGTGGGAGTGTACAGTGAAAGAGGGAAACAGTTAGTGAGCCAACACAAAGGAGCAAGAAGATTAGATGATGTGACATCTCAAAAGGATTTTTACCAAAATAATGGCCCAAAAGGACCTCACCTTTGGCAGCACAGTGATGACACACTGAGCCGGGAGGTGTGAGGCGATGTGGGTTAAGATCTCCCATGGTAAAGACAACAAGCCACTTGGCTCAGCAGAAGCTGAAGGACTAACATCTGCAGAGGATGAGTGGTCAGCAGGCAGCAACCTGAAAGGAATATGAAGACTAATGTGACTCAGTTATTATAAAAATATAAATGCAGCACATAATACTGTCTATAATTTAACTGAATGGTGGAGTTTTGGACATTCAAGTGTCTGGCTACAGCCGTTCTTATCTTCCTCTTGTCATCTGTGGCATCAAGTCATACAGTTGAAACCAGAAGTTTACAGACACTGTACAAAAAGACACACAACCTTTTTCTTTCTCAC